GGCGACCAGGAGTGTGGGGCATAGCGGAGGGATCGATCGCAGAATTCCCGTCGGAGCTGGCTGGGGAAATCTCGCTGTCGACGACGAGGAGGAGCAGGTCGTCGCCCCAGGGGGGAGGCCACCGATGGGGCCAACTTCGGAGAGCACCAACCGCGGAGGGACACTTCGTGGGCTAGGGCCCGACATGGGTGGCCTGACTGGGCCTTGCTCTATGGGTTTGGCCCAGGAGCAATCGAGGGAGGCCGAGCTGGAGACAGGCCATATGGGCGAGGCATGATCGCGGGCGGGCCGGATCGAGCGGAGCAGTGGGCCGGGGAAGCAAACGGGCCTTATGGACCGGCGGGATCGAGCGCTTGCGAGTCGGGTCTTCTGGGGAGTGGGCCGAGTCATCCGTGACCGCCGAGTGGACCAGGAGCGCAGGGAGCTGGGCCAAGCCCAGACCACCGTTCGGGCCGGGTCAGCAGTGCTGGTGCGGACCCGTTGTGGGCCGACCCATCGCGGACTGGGCGGGCCTTACTTGGGGGGACCAACTGGGTTGACCCAACCCATGGGCCAGCTGGGTCACTTCGAGGAGCCGGGTCAAGCGATGTTTCAAACCCGGATCGCATCGCTCGAATTTTCGAAGTTCACTAGCAAGGAGGATCCATCTGGGTGGGTCTCGCGTGTTGAGAAGTACTTTTGTTACCAGTGCATTCCAGAAGAGCAGAAAGTGGTGCTAGCTACTTATCACATGGATGTTGACGCGAACCAGTGGATCATGTGGCTCGAGGAAGAATTCGCGAAGTACGGCGTGGTAATGACTTGGAGCAGTCTGTGCGCCGAGTTATGGAAAATGTATGGGTCATCAGAGAAGTCGTCTGGACATGAGGAGTTGGCCAAGATCCGTCAAACTGGATCCATTGACAAAAATCAACATACCTTCGAGAAGTTGTTTAATCGTTGCCGCGGTTGGACCGCGGTTGCGATCATGGGGTCCTATATGGGGGGATTGAAGCCAGAAATATCTGCCTATATCCGAGCTTTTAATCCGCAAACCACAGGCGAAGCATATGGATTGGCTAAGATATGCGAGGAGGAGTTGAGCTTGGAGAAGGGATCAACGAGGACTGCGCCGCGGACTGCCACCGCCGACGCAACTTGGGCGCCACCGACAGCTGCTCCAGTTGCACCGCCAGCTGCAGGACGAGCACCACCACCACCGCCAAGGAGGATCATTCGCAACCTGTCACCGGAGGAAGCTGCTAGCCGCCGTCGCGACGGGCTGTGCTATAATTGCGACGAGAGGTTCACATATGGGCATCGCTGTGCAAATGCGAACGTCTTCGTTATGATCGGCGACTTCAAGGACGAGGATGGCGGAGAAGAGGAGAAAGAAGGCAACCTCGGGGATGAGGTTGTTTAAAGAGGGGGGTTTGGTGCATTATAATTTCCGCCAGCCACCTAGGATATTATTATTATTTGTCTTTCGTATTATTATTAGTTTGGATATTCGTTTATTATTTGGTTATTCGTATTATTATATTATGTCTTGTCTAGGAAGTTACTGTTTACTAGTCGGTTTGGGATTGGGTTTCCTTTGTCTTAAGGGGAAAGGGGTTTGTGGGACTTGTCCTATAAATTTGTACCTTTGCTCTTTGTTTTTGTTCATTCGATCAATAAAGTCTAATAGTTTAGTAGTAATTTAGTTATCTTCATCGCCTTCTTAGTTCGTTCGTCAGAGAGCTCGAGTTCTACGACGCGTGGGAATCTATCACGCGTCACAGTGGCAGCCACAAACTGCGAGTCCTAACTTCTGCTTCGCCACTTTCTAAACCATCATTCTTCTCCTCTTTGACAAGATTCGACTTTTCTTTTACTAATTTTGGATGTGATTATGCATTCTTTATTTGGATTGATTTCTCTGGTTGTTTATGTTGGGGGGGCATTCATAAGGAGTCCGACGGGCCAACAAGACATGCAAGAAATGGATTTTAAAGGAGTCCGACGAGCTTCAACAGTTTACTTGATTACCGAAAGCTTGATGATGAAGAAAAACGAAAGCTAGTTTGCTTGTTGAATTTTAATGCAGGATCTGACATTGATTTTTGTGCTTCGTTGCTTAATCTTTGCGGATTCGCTATTCAATAGGTTATGCACAATGTTATTTGTTTTGTTTTCTACGGTGCCAGTTCAGAATGTTCGGCTAACCAAAGAGAACTATGCTTTGAATATTGATTTATTTTGAATATAAAAATACGAATCAGTCTTTTTTTGTTAATGTTTTGATCGAATTTGAATAAATAATAAACCAAAATTCTATATATTTATTATTATTATTATTATTATCTCATGAAGAGTAAAAGTTCTTTTGTCTGCTACAACCTAATCCTATAAAAAAAATTCTTTGTTTAAGAAGTCAAAAAGTGCAACTACTTCTTTTCTTTTTAGGATATTTTCTCATTTGACGGTAATGATTCTTATTGTTCCAATCATAATCATGATCTGAATCAGAATAATAACTATTAATATGTTTTGAAAGCCAATTAAAAACTAAAGGTAAGATAGCCTAACGGTAAACCTGTCGCGACAGTGAATGCTTGGGCGTTGCAAATCCCATGTTTGAATCCAAGAGAGGCCCGTTGGTGTGCCTGAAGGTAGGGGTGGCTATACGGTCCGGTCCGGTTAAATTGGCCCAAATTGATCCGGTCCAGTCCGGTTTTTTTGAAAATATAAGGACCAAAGATTGGATTGGATACAGTCCGGTCTTGATCCGGTCCGGTTTTGATCCAGTCCGGTCTCAATTCGGTCTTGATTTTACATTGAGATTGTGGGATTTGAGTGGCCTAAGGCCTTAAAGGGTGAGGAGTTGGTTAAGTTTTGTACTAAGTGCAAAGGTTTGTGACCGTTTATGCAAATTACCCTTAAGTTTTGGGTGTTGAGCTCTCTTATCCGGTCTTTATCCGGTTTTTTACCTCAAATCTAAACCCAAAGATTGGATTGGATTGTTTACTATCCGGTCCCGGTCCGGTCTCGGTCCGGATTATACGGTCCGGTTTCCGGTTTTTAATCCGGTCCCGGTCCAAATAGCTACCCCTACCTGAAGGTACAAGGCTGCTGGGGACGAAGCCCCGTTGGCGTCGAATTTGATTACAGATGGCCCCCCGATTTAGTAGGACCCACTGTCAAAGTGGCAGGTGGGGCTGAGGTTCCTGGATAATAGAAAAAAATAATTAAAACAATACATGCATTCATTGTATTCTAGACATTAAAAATAAGCCTTTGACATGCAATGAAATACACTAATCAATAATTGCATTCGCACATGCTTCACAATCCCTATGTTTAGCCCGGCTTTTAGAAGTGCTTTTTGGCTTCAAAAGCTGAAACAGGGCCAAACACTTGTAAAAGCTCGGCTTTTGAAAAGCCAAAAAGCGCTTTTGTATAACATAAAAGCAGACGCTCCGATTTGGGGCTTCTGCGAAAAGCTGTTTTGAAAATACAAGATTACCCTTACCATATTTTAATTTTATTTCAGAAATATAATTTTTCTTCATTTATATCATTTTAAAAATAAAATAAATTATAAAATCATATTATTTAATATAAAAGAAATCTAACAAGATCCATTTTGACTACTTTTTATTGTTTAGAATTTTTATTCATATTTTATATTATAAGTCCTATATAGTCATTTTACACAACCTCTCATATTAAAAAACACTTCTAATAGTTTTACAACCAAACACTCAACAACTTTTTTTGAAAAGTGCTTATCTAAAAGCTCCAGCCAGAAGCTGCTTCTGCAAAAACTACCGCAGGGCCAAACTAAGCTAATATAAAGGTTGAGAATTCTGCTTACTACTCTGCAATAAAAAATAGTAGTAGTTCTATTTCCAACTCTTCATTTATAGTATTCTCTTTATATATAATGTTTGTTTTGCTTGAAATGTAAGGACATTATTAATATATATAAATGTGAAGTTGGTTTACTATTGTCTAAATAATTGTATTTTATATCCCAAATTTAATTTAATTACAATTTAGTCACTATAAAGTATAATGTACATTTTGTATTTTGATACCCCAAATTTAATTTTAATATAAAATCATTGAGCAATTATGTTTTGGTATCTTAATTTTATGAGTTTTCGTACATACAATTTTTTAAATTTACATATTGGTCGAATGTTTAGATTTCACTTGAATCCATGAATCCAATCCACCAATCAATGAATCCAATTCACCATAACATAAAATATAAATGTAGGAGAAGATTCGACCATTTTGGTCTTCCATTGAATTTTTACTTCAAAAACCCCATTGCCACCATAAACATGTATGCCGACCATGAATCGAACCAGATCGAAAGATTCAGCTGTCGACGGACAAACTTTGCCGAAACGTAGAATTAGCTTCAAATCTCCCACAAACTTCTCCATTCAAAGCCACATTATTACTGGAGTACAAATACAGGCCCTTAGCAGTTTAAGAATATCAATTGTGAACCCCATAGGCTAGCCTCCAAAACAGCAAACAAAACCCTAGTGTACAGAATTGAATGCTTTCGTTAGGTCTATTTTAACTACACATCAAAATGATAGATTGGTTCTGTGATAATCCTTTACCGGCTCTGAATCTAGTAGGATATTGTCCCCAATTGATCTCCCTTTGATAAATGCAGCTTGCGACTTACTTACAATTGAAGGAAACACCACGACAAGTCTATTAGCAAGGATTTTAGAAATACCTTTGTATGTGGCGTTACAACATGAGATATGACGAAACTCTGACATGCACACAGAATTAGGAAGTTTGGCTGCCAGAGTGAAGATGGTCGAGTTGATTGTTGATGGCATTTCACCAGTTGAGAAGAAGCTTAAGACTACCTCCTCAACTTCTCTACCCACTATACCCCAATGCCGTTGAAAACATTCTGGTGAGAATCCATAAGGCCTTGGCGCTTTATCCTTCCCCGTATGCTTAAAGACTTTATAAATTTCCTCGCTATATGCCTGCCATAAGTATAGCTTTATCCTCCTATGATACGGTATGTTGCAATATAGAACGAAAGTATTCAACTGACAGCACTTGAACCGCCCTATTTTCAGTACCAAACAATTTTTTGTAGAAGTCCATTGCTACCTCACTCATTTTCTTAATTTCAGTCACCTCACGACCCTCGGCATCAAGTCGCCTTGTGATCTGCTGCTGTTGCGTGTGAACTCTCACCATTTTATGAAAAAACACAGTATTATAATCACCTTGTTGAACCCAACTTGCTCTTGATGTTTGCCTATAGAATCGTTCCTCTGCATGCCAAATCTTAGCACACTCAGCCCCTAACTTGACTTCCTTCTCAATCAACTCAATCGTAAGATTATCAAGAACATCCAACTGTGTACTTTCTAAAGCGAATTCTAGCCCAGTACGTTCAGAGATATCTTAATACTCTTTCCTATTAAGTTTACGTAGGCCAGACTTTAATTTACCAAGCTTTCCATACATGATATAGTGAGGGTAGCCTTAACTGGAAACTGCCAAGCATCTTGAATGATTGACAGATAAGAAGGATCAGATTGCAAGTACTGGAAGTACTTGAATGGCTTTGGAAAAGTTGCTAGTTTAGGCGAGGCATTCAACAATAGACAACAATGATCAGATACACCAGAAGGAATAGTATTGGCTGAGCTATCTGAGAATTTCTTCAACCATGCTTCATTAACCAAGAGCCTATCAATTCTTCTTGCAATGGGGTTCCCTCTTTTCAGGTTCCACAACGTAAACCAGGCCCCTGTGATTTTATGATCCACAAACTGCATTTCTTGTATCCATAGTTTAAAATCCTTCACACTCTGAGTAATTTCCCGGGAGTTGGAAGCCTTAAAATCACATAGAACTGCCCACAAATTGTGACTCTCCTTTAGCCCTATCAACTCCTAATAAAGCGTTGCTCGTCCCTTTTCTTTATTTGGGCTGTAGATGAACACAAGTGTCACTGCTACTATCCCCTGAACCAAAACTTTCAAGTAGTTTTCACCCTAAATGTTGGTAACTATAATACTATGTCTCCATAATAGCCAAACATGACCTAATTTATACTAATTATAGTTATTCAGACGACCCCAAGCACTAAAAGTACCTATAACTATTTTAGTACTATTAGCTATATCTACTCTGTTTCAAGTAAGCCAACTATATCCACCTTATACTCCTCAGCTGTCATAAAACAGCTGAACACCCCCTGATATTCCAGCTAAATACAATCATTCATGTCAGAACAGAAGCGTGACAATCGATAATTCAAACCAACACGAACGAACACAAATTTAACGTGGTTCGCTAACACAATGTGTGCTAGCTAATCCATGGGCAGAGGGAACAAATTTCACTGATTTGAGGAGAGTACAGGTTACAAACCAAATTCCAAACGGACAAACCAAACAAACTAACTTGACTGACCTTACTACAGACTAGGGTGATGAAGAGTATTTATAGAACTCTTCTCCTAATCCGAAACAGCAAAACCAAACACATTTTCCCAAACATACAAGGAAAAGGTCAAACAAAGCCCAAACACAAACCCAACCAGAATAGGCCCAAAACACAAAACAAACCCAAATCAAATTCAAGTCATATTCTAACAATTTACCTTTGCGTTTTCCCCGCCCCTAGCTTTAGGATGGGAAAGAGGAAGCATACTCCTAACCTCAGACCGAGATTGAGTTAATCTTGCAACCACATCGAGATTTTTGCTAACTGCATGTGCATACGACCCATTTCCAGAGCCTTGAGTATTCTTGGACTTCTGTTCTGTTAATCACAACTCAGAAACCATCATCCTCTTGCTGAGGAGCTACATGAGGAGTAATATTCAGTTGAGAACGTATCTCGTTACAAAACAGTACACCCTCACTTCTTAAGTGTCAATCACAAACTTTTCTTTTTCCACTGAAGTCTCAATAGCCCCTTCCACATCCTGCCCTGATCCCGATTTATCATTTTTGGCACAACCTTCATTTCGCCAATAATATGGGGTTAATTCTCTAAATATTGTTTTTTTATTTATTTACCACGAATATAGTGGTTTAAAAACTATTTACAAGAATATTGTGTTTTTTGGTATGTTGAAAGCGCTCAAGCCTTAGACTCAGGCGCGGCTGCTAGGTGTTGTTTTTTCAATAAAATCCAGCAGCGGCGCCCGAGACTGGGGCTTTGGCGCTTGAGAAAAAGCAAAAGCGGCAGCGCCCCAGACTGAGGCTTTGTCGCTGCCTTCTTTTCTTCCATTCCAGCACCACTCCATCACCATATATACTCCACCTTTCCTTCGGTTCTTCACCACCAAAAAACTGAAAGAAGTTCCGAAAGAAGCTCTGGTGTTGTTGTCTGGTTGCTGGGAAGATGGCTAATAATAGGTAAGAGACGTATTTATTTTTTTAATGTATTCTTCATAATGATTTTGTCCGGTTAGTAATTAGTGAGTTTGTTTTTTATGTAGTGGTTTTAGAAGATTTGAACAAGCTGTTCGGTGGAAATCAGAGAAAGTAGAGAACAATTTAGGTGTCCATTTCGTTGGTGGTGTAAGTTTTCAGATGACTATTCCATCCAAGGTGAACTATCAGAAACTTTGTGATAATCTAATTCGGAGAATACCACGTAGAGACGAAACAGTACAAGATAGTGTCGTGATTACAGGTTTCACTTATTGTCTTCCAGAATGGCAGAATGGTGTTTTATTTCATTATGCAATGCCTATTGTCGATGATGATAGCTTAAATGTGCTTTGGAATTTGATGGCACAAAATCCTTATTTTTTGGGTGCTGAGATACATGCTGAGCTCAGTGAGGATCGGGGTGGAGAGGAAGAAGATGACACATGGAGCATGTCATCCGATCATGACTATGATGACGGTGATGACGGAGAGGAGGAAGACGATGATGAGGAGGAGGAGGAGGACGACGACGACGACGACGACAACGGGGAGGAAGGAGAACAACCTAATTATCTTCCATATTTTTACTTGTAGGGTAATGAAGAGGACGAGGAATTATCATATGCTGATTCATATGGCGTAATTCCAATGCCTATTGTTGGTGGTTTTGATGGAGAATTCTACAAGGGGCAAATATTTCACTCGAAACAAGCTGCACAGGTGGCGATTAAACACTATGCACTACAACGCAACGTTCAGTATAGCGTGGTGGAGTCGTCACCTTCAATCTGGAAGATCAGATGTTTGATGCACAAGGAGAACAAATGTCCTTGGATGGTGCGGTTTGGATGTCGAGATATGGAAGGCGATTGGAGCGTGAGAAAGGCCGAGTTGGTGCATACTTGTAGCAGTACGACTCAACCGGCGGATCATCGCCATCTTAATGTCGACGTTAAATCTGAGTCCGTGAAACACTTGCTACGTGCTCAACCAAATTTGAGTGTTCTTACTGTGCAGGCCGAGTTGAAAGATAAGTTTAATATGCAAGTTATTTACAAGAAGGCTTGGTATGGGAAACAAAGAGCATTGGAGAAGTTGCATGGAAATTGGGAAGAATCCTACGATTTTTTGCAAACATTCTTGCGGCGGGTGGTCAAGAGAAAAATGCCAACATCGGTGATTGATTGGGTAAGAGTTCCTTCGACTCAACCAGGTCATTCGATATTTCAGCGAGTATTTTGGGCTTATGGACCTTGTATAGATGGATTCAAGAATTTTCCAGGCGTCATGGTTGTTGATGGAACATTTCTTACTGGGAAGTATAAAGGAGTGCTACTCATGGCGAGCTCATTTGATGGCCGGAAGAAGATTTTTCCAATTGCATTTGCCATAGTGGAGAGTGAGAATACTGATAGTTGGCCATGGTTCATAAGTCATGTTCAGGGTTTGACTGATCGAAATGATGACTGCATCATCCCAGATATACATGCATGACTCTATGAAGCCATGAATAACATCGGAAGAGGTTGGGAGTGGAGATGGTGCATGCGACACTATGCAAGCAATTTGCAAAGGAATACTAAAAGCAGAATTATGTATAAGCAACTATTTCGAGTCGGTAAGCCTTATTCATTTAATTTTGTTATTTATTTTATGTAATTTTGTCATGAATTTATCTAACCCGTGTGGTTGTTTATTTTGTTAGCCGGAGAAAAACGCTTGGAGAAGTTCGATCATCAAGTTGAGCAATTTAAGAAGGTGGCCACTGATAGAAATATTTTATGTGATAACTGGGTCGACCAACATCAAATTCATTGGATTTTAGCACATGATAACTACAATGGTGGGCGTCGTTGGTATATCCTGACATCCATCATGGCAGAAAGCATCAATCGATGAACTCATGTCGACGGTTCCATAACTCAATCGACTCGCTAGCTGCCTGTATGAACTGTTGGCCACGTGATGGCCCATGCTGTCCCTGACGAAGAAAAATCCTAATCTCAGTCGCGGAATGTGGAGGATGAGGTCGGTCCTGAATCATCCCAAACTATCCGAGCACGCGATCTGGATGATGCCACATTTGCGATGAGAAGCAGATCAGCGGAACTACTGCTCGAAACGTGTCGGACTGGATCACAGTACCGCTGTAGTCCTGACCTCTATGAAAGTACGGATGCCACTGCACACATGGATTGGTCACATAATTACTCCTAAATCTATAAAAAATCAATTAAAACTATTCTATAAAACGAAATGTTATATATTAACCATGAATGTCGTTTACTCGTCAAACCACAGCTTGTACAGGTAGAACTGATCTCCATGCTGCCGGGTGTGGGCCGGAAGCCATCGAAGGCCACGTGGCACCGCGTCCATAGTAATCTGCGCACCCGTCTCTGCATGTAGTGGTGATGTATGAGGAAACCGCTCCCACGTCCAAATCATCAGCAAGGCGGACCATCCACCAAAGTCACCACCTAGTGAAGAAGATGCTGTCATTTGCAGCGCAAATCTACCCATCTCACGGTACAAGTAGGATAGCACAGCTGCTCCCCAAGCAAACCTCCCCGCTTTGCGCCAATCCTCCACCAAAAGTAGGTACTGCAGGTGAACTGAACCTCCAGACCGATCGGAGAACAAGACACCTCCCATCAGAGACAGCGCATACGCTCTTGCAAACTTCTCTGTCGTCTGGGGTGATGCAGAAAGCGGTAGCTCATCGAAAGTCTCCCTGAGCCAAGCAATCCGGATGACGTCGCCGCCAAGATCAGTAGGAGCCCATCCTAACAGTCGAAGACACATAGCTGACCAGTCCTCGTCTGGTATGTCTACTACGTCGGTTTCACCGTCGATCGCTAGACCGGTCAGTGTCGCAACGTCCTCTAGGATGATCGTCACCTCACCGAACGACATGTGGAAGGTCGATGTCTCGGGTCGCCAACGCTCTACGAGCGCAGTAATCAAACCCGGATCACCGGTAAGAGAGGCTAGTGGCAGAACACTAGACAAGCCCGCTTCGACGAGATACGGCTGGTAAAGTGGATGGTATCACACTAAATTGCCCGTATGACGAATGAGGTAAGATCGATCACCAGCCTATAATTAATGCACAAAACTTATATTAATTCAATTCACCTAATATTTATATTTATATATTTAAACTAAACTTATTCTAATACTACTCGTAATTTAATCTAATTCTATTCATAATTTAATTTAATTCTATTCGTAATTTAATTTAATTAAGACCTATTCGTAATATAATTTAATTCTATTCGTAATTTAATTTAATTCTATTATATTCAGATAATAAAAAACTATAGAAATAGTTTGAAAACTTACCTCGTTTGCCCAAACTGCATTAATACGATGGTGACCATGCCCCCAAAGAAGTTTCGGATCCACCGGAGCTGTATCGATTGTCGCAGGTGGTGGTCTCATCGAACAAGGGTCCAAAAGCCTAGGAACTGGGGGGAAAATTAGAACCTAAAAAAAAATGTCGCCGCCGGCGAGAATCCGGCCACCGCCACACATACCCCTGTAGTGTTCGCCCTCGCCGCCCTCTGTCCTTTCCTCTACCGGACGCCTGCTCGTCGTCGTCGGACATGGAGGGGAGAAGCTAACAGATCTGTCGGGGAAGATGAGAGCGACAATGCTCTGGGTACGGCGGCTTGGTCGGGAAGCTAGCGCGGGTGCCTGAGATTGGGGCGCCGCCGTGCTTTCTCTCGGCGTCGTTGCTGGGTTGGAGGTGAGGAGGAGTGGTGTGTGGTGGTGTCTGGCGAGATGGTGAGAGTGAGTGGTGAGGAAAGAAGAAGATAAGAAGGAAAAGGAAGGTAGCGACAGCGCCCGAGACTCAGGCTTTGGCGCAACTGAAAGTTTTTGAAAATTTCAAATAGCGCCAAAGCCTCAGTCTGGGACGCCGCCGCTACCTTCCCCATTCAAAACACAATAATCTTGTAAATAGTTTTTAAACCACTATATTCGTGGTAAATAAAAAAACAATATTTAGGTAATTAACCCAATAATATGTGACTTTACTGCCCAGACTCTCTACGCATTCTCAGGTTGGGAACAATCATGACAAAAATAGGCACACTTTAAGCATAATTTGGGAAGGTGACAGTATTCAACATCAATCCACATTTTTTCATACCATCAGGGGTAATGCTTGATTCATGCCTAATTGCACACATTTTATCCCCGTTTCCCTTGGGCGTTTGTAGCATTTGAAGTCCTAAAAGGGTGGGTTTACGCTAGGTTTTGTGCGTTTTAGTGTGTTTCAGGATCCAACAGGTGAAACCAGCTCCGGAGTCGAAAGTTGGACAAAAAGAGGCAAATACCGAGCAAAGAGGGTGATTCAGGCGAGGTTCACAGGTTATCATTGGAGTTCACGGTCTCCTATGGCCGTGAACTGAAGCCCAAAATCGTGAACCGCGAGGCGTCCAGGGAGAAATATGTAGTTACTGGCGCAAGGCGAGTTCACTGTCAACAAAACAGTGAACATTGAGGGCAAACCGTGAACTCCTAATGGTGAAGCGATGTGTTTTGACACAACGCCCTGTGTTCACGGACGCATTGAAGAGTTCACGGTCGTGAACTAAGACAGTGAGCTGAGCCCGATCCTGGTATAAAATGTGAGCTGAAAGGAAGAGAGAGAGGAGAACCCAAGAGTGAGAAAGTGTCTCTTCTTCTTCAGATTTTAGAGAGAGAAAGGACAAACCAAGGAAGAAGGAAGGCTAGGGTTTGCTCCAAGTGGTGAATTGGGAAGAATCTCCCCAAGAGAAGATCAACACAAGCGTAGAGGAGATTGGAGGCATCACCATGATGGTTTCTACCTCTTCCTCTTGTGTTCTTCCTTTTCTAGCATGGAGTAGTACTCTTTTTCACTTGGGTGTTGTGAAACCCTAACTATTTGCCATGTAGTTGTAGTGTGACTTGAATGATTGTTTACGGGTGTTGTTTAATTTAATGATTGAGGTATTTTCATGATGATTGTGCATGTGTGTGCTTAGCAATCTAATTGGCCAATTGAACCTAGGTAAGAGGGGAAACCCCCCCCTTCCAAAAGAGGCTCAGTTGAGTTGGGATTCCACTGGCTTGACAAGCCACCTACCTAGGTTAATGTAGGGCAAACCTCTATCTTGAATTAAGCAACTAGGTTAATCATGATTTTTTTTATCCCAAAGTAAGTAGATCAGTGACCTCTTGCATCGACTTAACAATTAACATGGCTGATGCCAAGGCTGTCTCAACACCTATTGCTACTACTGAAGTGCTTAAATTCTCAGATGGCTCGCCACAGGCTGTGCAGGTTAGCCACTCGCCCACAGGGCAAAACGAGAAACCCTATCGATATCAATATGATCCGCTGCTTAGTGTGAAAGGCTTTGGAACTTGCTCTGGCATGAAAGTATTTGGTATTCCGTTCCCCAGAAGCGATCCATTCCAACCTTGATTTCTGACACCAGGGGATTTCTTCCTGGAATAGGACTGATTCTATTTCATCCCGCAGCTCTTCCCAAACGACAATTCCACCCTCTTTTTCTTTCACAAAGTCGAACTTGCTGCCGCGTTAAAACGCCCCTCCAAAGGGCTTTCTTCCTCTCCCTCCCTTCGGTCGATTATATTGCATAACCTCTCCCTTTGCCCTTCGGGCTCATATATTCTAAACCTTCGCCCGCTTTTCGGGCTCACATATTCTCCCTTTCAGTCGAGCTACTTCGTTCCTCTCCTTTTGACTTGTTACGGAAGCACTTCTTACTAATAAGGAGCAAAGGATTAAAAACCTAAGCCTCTTCAAGGAAATCTCCTCTCAGCTGACTTGACAAGTTTCCAAAAAGAGCGTCTTTTGAGTCAGAAAGTTCAGCTGGCGTAGAACAAAGAAGGCCATTTGATAAGAGACAGGGCAGGCTGGCTAGGAGACATCCGACTTGCTTACCGGAACTCCTTCTTTCAAAGAGACGATTTCAAAATTACATAGTTAATGTGACTGCCAGTTTCTACGAAAAGGCGGAGGGCCCTAATGGGGATTTAATCCATCACCTAAGCCCCGCCCGCTACCTTAAATAAAAGCGAAGCCTTGTTGGAGCAAATAGCAAGGATGGTAATTAGCTTCATGACTTCCCAATCCGCTACTCCACCCCGAAATGCAAGCACTAAGCCCTTTACTAGCTTTCCTACTCTCGATGACTCCTTGTCCTTCCGGGATGTCGAAAGCTTCAGTCAACACAGTCCTTAGCCCACATCTATCTAATAAAAGTCCTTACCCCGCATTCATCAATATCAATAAAAGTAGCAGGCGTGAAGGTTTAGTATACTCACTTCTAGTTACCGCACAACGTCCTATCTTCATTCCCTTGGATCTATGTATTGCAGTTCTCTGAGATTCTGTCCATTTCGATATTCGTTTCTAATTCTACTACTTGTTTCCATTATATGTTATTCCGCTTTTGTATTACTCGGATACCGCTACAGTTGATTGAATCAAGTCTTACTTGTGGTGCAGCCCTTAAGCTTAGGGTCCTGACTCCAGTCAAAGAGCCTATTGGTTGCAAGCGGATGCAAGGTTGAAGCGGAAAAAGGATTAGCATCGGGGGCTGCATGTAACCAACCAAGAAGGAAATCTTATCTTTCCCCTTCTTACCCAAATAAATAGGTGGAATCAATGTGTTCAAATTTCTGGCCTTGCAACAACCATCAAATGGACCATGGACTAAATGACCACCGCCTGAAAGTACTATGTCCTCGTTATTGACTCTCCCAGATTCCTATCGTTCAAGGAATATCTTGGAAGCCGGAAAACTATGCCTAATGTAAGGATCCCTAAGGGCGACTCTCTTTTACCGCTAGCGCTTGGACTTGGAAGCAAGATACGGCTACCTCGTTTCCTTATCTTAGGCCACCAACTAAGACGATGGCTTGAAACCCGGGTAGAAACCGCCCTACCATCAGGCAAAACCTTGTAGTTCTCAAAATCACAATCAAGTTCTAAAGAACGACCAGCCTCTTTAAAAGCTTTACCACATGCTTTTTTAAACCCTCTCTTTTCAGTCGAGCTGATCAAGACTTCTACGGAAGGTCAAGGGTGAATTGGGACCTCTGACTGCTAAACCAGTCGTATAAGTGGGTTGAAAGAGCTATTGTGTTTAGGCCGGACCTCAAGAATTGGCAATCGGCAGTCAGAGACGGGCTATTGGAAGCCGGTGTTGATCCCATTAATTATAGAGATCAAGCAAAAGTTTTGACGAAGTTCCCCAGTCGTAGATTTCGAGGCCGCATCATCATCCACAACGTTCAAGCACACCACTTCCAGCTGGATTTGAATTCAAAAGGGGTCGCAGGCGAAAAGAAAGAGACTGCCTGATTTGATCAAGTAGGGCTAACTCAATGGAATTCATAACCCTTTCAATCTTCTCCTTATTTCCTTGGTCGGGCAGCAGTCTTTCGAGTCAGAAAGTTCAGCTGGCGGCGGCAATCCAATCTCATGTAGAAGAGAGTTCAACCACAGTATTTCGAATGCAAGAGTGGCTAAGGCGCGATACTCATCCTCTGTCGAAGAGCGAGCCATGAGAGGAATCCTCATCTCGCTTGCCACGTACGTAAGTATTTTCGACCCATCATCGCTTTTAAGCGACAGGAAAGTGCGTTTTCATAACTTTATTTTGCTCAAAATGGGGACACGTTTTTCATTTTTCACGGCGGATACTCGCCTCGTCAATTGTCAGTGGAGGCGAGAACATGGACTTATAAGCCCGTACCGTTTCAACAATCCCCGATATTAGGAATGACAATCATAAATGAGAAGCCCACCATGGGGGAATTTGGTGCATATCCCCCAAGGCCGAGAGATTTCGGTACTCGTTTATGCGAGTGGTGACAGAACTAAATTTCCCTTAAGAAATGGACTTTTTTAAGTTAAAGAATCTCGTGTTTTTTTGTACGAATGCCTTTTTCCGCAATGATTTGACCAAATCAGATTCAATCTTTAATGAAAGCGATGTTTTGAGGTTTAAATTAACCAAAAGTGACGACTTTAGGCAGGGAATTGAAGAACTGCTCTTAAGATAGTCAAGTGCATGTAAGCCGCAGAAATTGTCATAAGACAACCAACAATCTTGTTGAGACATCA